GGAAAGAGGGATGTGGCTTTAGCTCTACAGTATTACAGAATCCTGCTAGCACCCTGTTTGCATTACAAGCTTAACTGGCTCTGCAACCATTCCTATCCCTCTGTAGCAGAAACAAGCTTTAAAACAAAGTATCTGAGCCTGGACCCATATGCTACCATCGCTCAGTGATAGTTTGTAAAGATATCACGGAGATGTTTGGAGAAAGAGGAGTCTGACCCCAGCTGACTTCCTGCCCTTTGGGCAGGGGGCTGGACCTGATGATCTTGTGAGGTCCCTTCCAGCTGTAACATCTATGAAATCTATAAGTTAAGTCCATAAATTGTTTATAGGTTTGGTTTATAATGCAACTAACCTCACCCCTTACAAATTAAAGGTCGTGTCTTTCTTATGCAAGCTTTTAGTCCTAGGATCTTCATGAGAATTTGGCCTGCCCAGGATCACGCTGGAAAAATGAGGCACGAAGCTGTAAAAGAGCAACTTAATCTCCACTGACTAATCTATTATGGGCCTTGCCTAAGCTTGTGTCAAACTCTACAATGAAACTACTGACTCCAAATTTCCACCTGAACCCTTAAGCTCACCCTTTCTCCCTTACCCATACACACCATTTCTTTTTCACAGATCCTATCTTGACTGAAGGATCCTAATTAGACTTTCCAACCTTTCCACTGACAAGTGCTATATGCATGCAACAACCTGCGACAGCTTCTCCCCAAAGCATTTGCCATTGACAAGCCTCAATAACATGAGATAGACTGGTGCATTGATCTACCTGCAAGAAGCGTTCTAATCGACAGGACGAGTGTTCAGGGCCTGCGCCATCATAGCCGTGGGGAAGAAGAATGACAATTCCACTCTGCAGGAGCCACTTAGCTTCACCTAAACAAGGAAGATAAGGAGAGATTTAAGTTGGACATAAAACCCCAAAAGGACTTGTTACCTTGCATTAAGACTGTGAAAATCATCTCCCAGAAGGCTTTTTTTAAAGTAATCTATCAGGATACTAAAATCACCATGCAATTAATATCATGAGATTTAATGTGGGAGTTAATTGGTCAATTTTACAGTTTGGCATGGTACAAATTTGATTATCTGAAGTGTCCCAAATTGGCAGTAACATGAGTTTTTCCAGGGGACACTTCATATATAAATCAGGCTCTAAGGAGAATTCAGCCTCCAGCACTTGTACCAGCTCCCTCTTCTCCACTTAAAAACCTGAAATTGGTGTAATTTGTTGCTGAAACTGTAAACCCTGACTCCACTTGTATTTGATCAATCTCTCATCCTGATTAGGTAGGTGCCTCTAGCAAGAGCCTCTTAAAAAGAAAAAAAATAATATTAAGTAGACGTAAACTTAAAATTCTCTGAATGGAAGTAATTCACTGTTTGTCCTCTTCTGAATTCTTGTACAGCAAATTTCTGTGCCAAACTACTAGGAAAGTGAGCATTTTAATATCTAGTATGTCAGCTTAATCACTTGGCCTTGGTGAAATGTATGCTAATACCATCCAGCACTGCAGTCCTGTCCTACCATTCACCATAATTAGGTTAAGCCCATTTCCTGGGAACTTCCTCAATGAAATGCCATCTCAAATTACGTGCAAATTCTATTATCCCAACACACCACTGAAAAAGAATTCTGCTGTCAAGCAAACTGAGGTCTGACTCCACTTGCAAATTCAATTTGGTTTTATGACCAATATTTAAAATTGTAACATCGTTGTGGATTAAGTCATCCTTGCTCTGCTTGCAGTGATTTTTCTGCTTTCAATTTTGAATAGACCTTTCACAGACACTTGTTTGTGGGGGGGATGAGAGAGGTTCTCTACGTAGGTAGATTTCTTGCACCCATGACAGGGAAGAACTGCTTGCCTTGTGCATACTGTCTTAGTTCAAAGGAATATTTGTAAACCCACCAATGGCAATAACTCCGAATAATCTACCCCTTCTCCACTCACCTCCAGAAATGAAAGTGTCAAATATTATCTGGGCCCCATTGAAGAAATCGCCAAACTGAGCCTCCCAAATTGGTAATAATTTGGGACTCTCAATACTCATTCCATATTCAAAACCAAGCACTGCTTCTTCGGACAGGGGGCTGTTGCTCACCTAACACAGAGAAATAGTTTGGAAGCAGTGACAGGGATACAAAAAAAACCCAGAAAGGATCTGCTTTATGGAGTCAAATGCAATTCTTTGAAATCAAAGCATATCAATGAAAATGTTTTTAGATGGCCCCTTTATGACTTCATCTACCCATCCACAGCTGATCTCCCACCAAGAAAAAACTTCTAAACCATTTTAAATGGGAGTTAAAAGATAATGCACTACAGCTGAAGATATATAGCTATCTCCCATCAGCATTACCATTGGTAATGGTGTAATGCTGCTCATCTGCAAGTCAGACCATGATTCCTTTCACCCCAGGCTGACTCTAGTGGCCAACCACTTGTTATACACAAGACCAGACCCTTTAATTAGGGAAAAGGTTTGGAGCCTGAAAACCTGGGTGGGTATTCTTCCAGAAACAAGATGTGAATCCCACTCTTGACACACAGATGCCCCATGCATGAATGATCCAATTCCTTTGGTTAGCAGCATCTGTTGAAGCTGTGCCTGTGCCCCAGAAGTTGTCACGTCTCCATTTTGCCCAACATGAAGCATGGAGAAGGTCCAGCCACCCCTGTCTTTCACGTGATGCCTCAGTACTAGCTGGCAAAGAGGACTCTTGGTGCCCGCTCTACCTGGGATATGGACACGTGCCACAGCAGTGCTCCATTTGTTTCTCTCTCTCTCTCAAGTGCACAAGAGAAGCACGCCTGAAAGTGCTCCTCAGGAGCTGGCTGCACAGAGATGAAGATTAGGCCTAGACCACACACATCTGGTCTAGTCTTCTCAATTACCACCCCAGTGAGCAGAGCAAAGCTGCTTCTTAAGCAGAAAGTACCTACTCTTAATACCATATGAAGTCCTGCTCTGTCAAGTGTGCAGCTTACCTCTAGGAAGCCCTTCTGGTCTGGGGACATGTGGTTCAGAGGGATGTAAGTGTCGTCCGTCTCTTGGCAAACCAACATTGCATGTCGTTGGCTGAACGTTCCCCTGCCGACATCCTGTCCACTTAATCGGATATTAAACCCTTATCAAGCAAGGAACAAAGTATGGTTAAATAATTCAAGCTGCAAAAGGAGACAGCATAAGGGACAATAGCTCCCCACGCTCCACAATATTGCTCCTCTCTTCAAATCTCTCCTGACCACATAGAATTGAAGCTAATTTATTGTAAGACCCTGGATCTATTTGCCCCACTTTGCTTACCCATATTTGCACTCTTCAGCCAACATCCTCCCAACACTTCCCATGCCTTGGTCCCAACTGCTCCTCCAGGATCCTTTCTACCGCTCGTTTTTGTATTCCCCCACTTCACTTTGTACACTTGCTCCAACACTATTAGCTCTCACAGACCTGACCTTGTTCCCCTCCTTCAAACACACTTCACCCATGAAGACTTTCAATATTGCCCCTGGTTTAGATTGTACACTCTAATGCTGCTGTGATGGGTAACAGCTTTTGTATAAATATGTAGCCAGACTGATTTGTGTGAACTACTTTTGTCTTGTATCTATGCTGGAACCCAAGTTCTTTGGAGCAGGCACCAAAATGGTCACTGCTATTACTAACACACTGAAGCTAATGAAGACAAGAGAGCCAACTGAACGCAAGCTATCACCCTTCCATCCTAGCACTGGACCCTTTTGAGCAAAGACTTCCACTTCTGGCAACTGCTTAGTTATTTTGTGATACTAGTAATAAGCAACCAAGACATCAGAAACAAACCACAAAATACAAGTGTAATGCAAACTGAAGACCAGGTCAGAGTGGAGAAAAATCTATTAGTCAACCATAGGAGTATTTTTTTTTCCAGAATAAGCATATGGGTTGTTCCCTTGGAATCAATCAGTACGACTGTTCATGTGCTTAGCTTCAAACCTTAAGTTGTTTTATTTTCCTGAATTAAAGCCTTAATCCTTTGGGTCACTTTAGGGACTAATTTATAAGCAAAGGTGACCCAAGAGAGTCATGACTCATAACTGCATTTTTAAGTAATAAAGCAGCTGAAATGTCAGGTTTTATAGCTGGTAATAATTCTTGCAACTGATGATAAGATGTGCACAAAACTCATATGGCAACAATGTTTTCTATTCTCTGCTGTCTGGTTGTTTCTTACCTTGGCTGAGCAGGGCTCCAAAAGCTAATGCTTCAGCCGTAGCCCAGTCCAATTTTGTTCCCTCCTCCACTTTCTGTTTTCTTGCCTGTCCATTAACGAGAAGTAAAAATAATGGATTATCACTTCTGTCTGCACATCAGATGCCACTGATCAATCTGTGTGGCTAGAAAAACCCCCCACATAGAGCAACACGACTACTCTAAGTCATTATTCACCATAAGCACTTAGCCTGTAAACAGCTCTCTGCATGTGAAGGGGACTTCTGTTCATTCAGATGAACAATGACTCATGAATCCAATTACAGGGTGTGAAAACCTTGGATCTTGAACTATTTAGAGTAGGAGCTCTGCTTTTAACATCTTATTCTTTTGCTCCACCTAGTTAGTGCTGGTGAAAGATGCCAGAATTTAAGTGTTCTGTAGATGGAGAGACCATAGGCTGCATCCATGGGCAGAGCTAGGAATTTGAAAAGAGGGGTGCAGATGGTATAGTACATCATCATATGTAATATAATACACATTTTATTCCAGGTAGAAATTAACTAGAACCTTTATAATAATATGCTAGGGGCCTAGGGATATATTATTCATTTTAAGATTGAAGCAAAAACAATATAACCTTTATTGGAATCTGCATTGATTTGCAAAATCATCTATTGCATATACACAAACACAACAAACTGGGCAAAATATAATCAAAAGATATTGTTTCCTTGGTCTTGTTGTCATTAGAATCAAATGCACACCTCTTTCAGATTGATAAAACACAATCTAGCTTTCCTGAGCATCTTGACAGTCTAATGCTTCACTGAAAGTTGTTTCCACGCCTGTTTTGATGTTCACTTGAGTTAATGTTTCCATACTCAAGTTGATGTTTTTGGCTTCAGTAAAATAATAATAAAAAAGTAAAAATAGCAATCAGATCCCAGCCGCAACAATAGAGAATTATTTTGTCTCAAGAGGATTATGCTCTTTTTTTTTTTTTTTTTTTTTTAAACCATCATCGCTTTCTGTGTTACATTTCTATAACAGGCCTCCTGCCTGAGTAACGGGATTAACTCAGAGCATCAGTAAATCCTACAGACCTGCACATATGTCTTCAGAAGGTGGCTGTGCATTTGGAGCTCTTCAGGAACCTCCACGGACTTGATTCCAATGAACTGGAGGAGCGACACAGGCACACCCGTGTCCCACGTGGTGATCCTAGCCGTGGGTTCCACCATGCCACTCCAGTGCGCCTGCAGGTTAGTGGGAGGAGGAGTATACAACGTCATGTTGGCAAGATGGTTGTTCAGTTTGGAGTAGTATGATGTCTTTATCTCTGATACTTCGTCCTCAGTCATGAGTCCACCAGTTACTAGCTGCTCTGCATATGTATCTGGGATGCTCTTACGAGATCTGTCAGGGAATAAATAAATAAATAAATAAATAAAATCCCACAGTTAAAAGTAATGAGGAAACATAACCCTGTCAGTATGAGGCAGAATTATACACACTGTCTGATGGAGTCTCTATTTCTGTCATTCCAAGTCTGGCAGAAATTCTCCAGGACACAACTTGATATACTGTCACTGTACTGGAAAGGTTTCTTTAATGGGCAATTATTGGGCAAAAATAAAGGCTCACAGTCAGGTGAGTCCTGATACTATTAGGCTCATCTTCTAAAAATAATGAGCTCGCAGTGAGCTTCTAATGAGCTCTATACGCATTTCACTGTACCCTCCATATCAACTCTGACAATCCATGGATGAAATGCTGCTTTTGCAGCTAAAATTGGGATTAGTATTAACACTCATACAAAAGTTAAGGATCTAGCTAAGCAGACAGCCATCTTGAGCAGGCCTTCTATGTGCAACTCCACCAAAACCCTTCCTACCCAGGAGTTCATACCCTGAACCCAGAGGCTGATTTGCCCTTTCCTCACAGGTAAAGACCCACTATGTATGGGTTCAAAATACAAGTAACATGTGAGCTTGTTCTTCAAAGGGGCATCAACTAACGAACTAGGAATGCCTTCCCTGGTAACACCTAGTTTCTCTTTAGGATGCAGGTTCTCTTGACAGTTTGCTGAAGACAGCACGGCAATGTCTACCAGCATGTCTAGTGACACTTCTATGTGTCTATTGACACTTCTGCTGTGAACAGCAAGACAGAGTGAGATAGATCACGGGCTCAGATTACATTTCAGCCAGAGGGTTCTGTTATAATATGAAAGTGAAGAAGAGCGTTATGTGGGGCTTGTGCAGACACAAGTTCCACTTTGGTCCTGTTCTTCATGTTAGAAGTATCAACCCTACCTAATGATTTTGTACATGCCGGGATTTGTGAAGAACGGCTCGTCGAGTTCATTGTGACCCCACTGTCTGTAACACAGCAAGTCAACAACCACATCCCGTCGGAAGTTGCGCTGGTATTCGACAGCTAGGCGTGTGGCTCGGATGACTTCTTCAGGATCATCCGCATTCACGTGGATAATTGCACACCCAATTATCTTACCTGCACCAGGAGTCAAAATATAGGAGGATAAGTCACACTCAGGACAACATCCAACCCTCTTCATCCTTTGCAATCATAGGAAAGTGAGCCTTGTTTTCTGATCTGACCACTTTCTCTTAACCCAGGTGGGTAACCTCAGTAACAAAGGAAATCTAGGGATATGAGCTACAAAAGCAATGCAGAGAAATAGAACAGCTTACTTTTCCATCAGTGTTCCTGTATCCACCAACATCTGATTTGATGAAGCAGTAAAACAGAAACACTTAATATAAAATGGCCAAGACACACACCTACATTTGTTTAGTTCTGGGGGGGATATGATTACAGACATACATAGGAATGAATCTCATGTACAAGTCCACCAGCTATACTATGATCATAGCAGAGGTATAGTGAAGTGATACAGTACATGAAAGACGGCTGGGGGGGCATGGTGGTGCTGGCGGCAGCACAACAGCGGTAAACGGGGAGCTCATGCAGATGCCGCCAGCACTGTCGGTGGTGGGGGGTGGCAGCAAGTGGTGAGCACCCTTTTCATAGGGGGTGCACTGCCATGCTCAGGAGGTGTACATGCATCCATGTGCACCACCTATGCGTCGCCAATGATACAGTAGGACTTCGCTAACAGAAAGCCTGAAAGAGCCATACTGGACACTGATATTCAGTAAATTAAAAAAAGAGCACTTAGTATACTAAATCACAAGACAGATTTTAAATGCGTGTTGATTATAATAAAAAGAAATCTTTACTACTGATGAAAACTTCATAGTAATATATTTTTACAGAATGCCATAGAATATAATACGCGTTCTATGGCATTCTGTAAAAATAGTACTTTTTTATTACATTTTTGAGTGAGTGAAAAATTCTTTGCATTTGCTTTTTGCTTTTTAACCTCATAGGAAAAGGGCTAGAAGGAACCTCATAAGCTCATCATGTCCAGGCCCTTGCTCAAGGCAAAATCATCCAGAACTAAACCAGCCCAGCCAAGTGTCTATCCAACCTGCTCTTGAAAACTTCCAAGGATGGAGATTTCACAATTTCTCTAGGTAGCCTGTTCCAATGCTTGACCACCCTGATAGTCAGAAAGTTAGGATAGTTTCTCCTGATCTCCAACATACATTTCCTCTGCTGAAGCTTGAGGTCATTGCTCCTAGTCATGTACCCTATGGCCACATTAGCCTATCCTCTCCGTAATTACCCTTTAGGTATTTAAAGACTGTTATCAAATCTGACCTCAGTGCCCTCAGTTCTCTTCTCCACACTAAATAATTCTAGTTCTTTCACTTTCCCCATAAATGTTACATCCCAGACCACAATCCAGCAGTATAACCAGGGCAGGCCAAGCACCTTTGGGGCCCAAAAAAACAAAAGTGGCTGCTGCAGGCGGCTGAGCAATGACAACTGTGATCACAGAGTCAACCAAAGTTGCCACTGTCCCTGTGCCCCAGGCACCCAGCTGTGTTCCTATGTTGCTGCTGTAATCATTTTTGTTGTGCTGTGCTGGACACTTTCCAGTCTGTTCACATCCTTCAGAACTGGACACAGTACTGCAAAGTGTGTTCAGTATTTCCACCAAACAGAACGGAAAAATCACTTCACCTGATTTGCAAGTGACACTCCTGTTGCTACATCGCAGTATGCTGTTCAGTTTTTTTGCAAACAAGAGCACACTGTTGGCTCATATTCTACTTCTGGCCCACTGTACCCACTTTATTCTGCAGTACTACAGCCTAGTCAGTCATTCCCAATCTGTATTTGTGCATGAAATTATTCCATCCCAAGTGCAGGATTCTGCACTTGACCCTGTTGAATTTCATCTTATTGATTGCCAAGCATTTTTCCAGTTTATCCAGATGATTCTGGATCCTAATCCTGTCCTCCAGAGTGTCTGCAACTCCAACCAACTTAGTATCATCCACAAATTTGCTAAGCATGTTCTACTGCATTCTCAAAATGCACACATTTTGCCTAACTCATCCCAAACAGAGGTGATTCCACAGCATGTGTGAACATTAACTGTCCAGACCCCAAAGAAGAACATATAGAGTTTATAGTTATTTTTGCATAGGCTACAAAACAGCTTGCCTCATGCACATGTTACACATACCAATGTCGCTACAGTACAGTGATGATCTCCCTCGTTCTGGAGGAGTGGTATATCCCAGCTGGTTGTTAACAATCAGATGGATGCTTCCACCAACTCTGAAATGTGGGAGATTAGAGAGCGTCAACGTTTCAGGAACAATCCCTTGACCAGAGAAAGCACCATCACCGTGAACCTAAATTATGCAAGGAGACAGAAAGGTCTCATTACTATCACTGAAACAGAGGTGTCAAAAATGAGACGTAACCCATTACTCATATTCCTTTAAAATGAAAAGGGGGAACATATACAGCTCTACATGTACACCCAGATTCCAGCTCCCCTACTGGTTACTGTTTTCATGCTTTGAGAAATCTTGCAGTCTTAACTCCAAAGGTACATAGCCAGCAGCATTTAAATATATGTTGGCTGGTCCACCATCTGCTCAGAGCAGACTCATCTCTTAAAATAGACTGACCATTGCACGCAGCATGATCTCAAATATAGTAGGTGCAGTAAAGGAGTCATGGTTAGCAACCACAGTAGTGATCAATGAGCATTATTATAAGCCAGTCCCCATATGGTACACTGACTCTCTGCCCTAAAAATGAAGTGTGGCACAAAGCATACATGAAAAATAGAGCTTATTAACCCAAAAGTAGAATGCTATGTGAACATGGCTAGACTGAGCCCTGTTCTGGAGCAAGCTGTTGCAGAACTAGCTCAGGGTCTCTCTGCATGATGCTGCCTTGTGCTATATAGCTGTAACCTAAAGCATCTGAATAACATTGTTAGACAATGCTCTGGTATCATTCCCAGTGTCATCCATCATCCAGACACAAATCTTCTACAAGGAATCAGCCAATTGAGGAGGCTATGTAGGACATTTGATATCAAAGAACCTGAGTCACAAATCCCTTTTCTATTTAAATCCTCTGCAGTAGCTAGTTAGCCTCTCTTCCAGCAATGACAGCTCATTCTACTAAAATGGGAGCGGAAAACAGAAAGAAAAACAATATGTTAAATTTATTCTAAACAGTAAGTCAGCAGACCAGCACAAAAATCAGTTGCTTAGTAATCTTCAAGTAGAGGTTGGACCAATGCCTATGCTGTGAGCAGATGCTGCTAATTTTACAAGGGGCTCCCACAAAAAGCAATGAGTTGCTTAATTACTGCCACAGTAAAAGGCCCATTAATCAGTGGAGCAGGTGAACAAATGCAAAAAAGCAACACCTCTTTCTTGGGACAGGGCGACTTCACTGAGCAAACAAGCTTCTCTTACTGGGTGGTAGATTTGTACTCTGTTTCTGAAAGTTATAAAACATTCAATAGAGGAGTACAATGGTTAGCCTGAAAGACTGCAAGAGAGGTGCAAGGGTAGCTGTGAAAGTAATAAGAGACTATCCCCCAGACTTTTTGATTTTGCTGTTAAAACACCACCTGGTCCTTGGTGCCACCTAGTGTGGTCTAACAGCAGAGGGTTTGCACCTTTAACACGTTTCCTGAGTCTCCAGGAAAGGTTTCAGGGGAAGTTGAAAAAACAAGAGAGACCTGTTCTAGGTCTCTCATGCTCCAAAAGACAAACCTAGATGGGTTAGGCCTAACTAAAAGGGTATGTTTTCCGAAACAGACAGCTTCTGGAAGAGCAGACTTTCATTTATAAGTAGCATCAATCAATAGCATGCATTTTTTTCCAGCAGCCTCTGCATTACAGTTGAGATTAAGGAGAGAAATAGGTCAGTTGTTGTATGAGATTTTAAAATTGCTCCAATTAGCCCTTCAACCAGTGCTTGGCACTTTTGTCAACCAAACTACAAGTGCTCTTCTGTTCAGGCACATGGGTCCAGAGCACAGATGACTAACAGATTGTCCTCACACCCGCAGAATATCCACAATGCCCACAGAAGGACCATCAGTCCTCGAGATAACAATACCAACAGCAACTTTAAAAGTCACAGTATTTTTCTTGTGGCGAGTTCAGGCGTTTTTCCTCCTGGTCTGGCTCTCAATTGCTCTGGCCAGTCCTTACTTTCCAGGTAATACCTGCTCAGGGTGACACTACTGTTTAATTATCAGCTCCATCTTCCATAATAGCCTATGTCTTAATTTCACCTCCTCCAGAAATTACTGAAGGCTGAGAAAGAAATGAGAAATTAATGAGTTTCAGTCCATGAGTAAAGACAGATGGTCAATGTGCTGCGAGTCATATATGCACGCACCCACCCTGCTTCCGAGTCCTCAGAAGTCCAACCTTTCAGTGTACTGTGGCCAGGGAGATCAGAGAGGTCTCATCAGAGAACAACAGGGGGGAAAAGAGAGAGATGGAGGAATCCCTTCCTTCCTTCCTTCTTCTTGCTAATTAATATCCATTTCAAAATTACTCCAGAAGCTGGAGCTTTGTCATTCTCAAGCCCTTGTGACTTTGGAGAGAATTTCCAAACTTCTCTCCCCTACTCAAGATGCAGCTGTGCTGAGACGTTGGAGGAAAAAGAAGGGCATTGGTCTAGTTTTGAAAAACCGCCCCCATCCCCAAAAGACCCAACCATCTTCATGACCAGAAACCCCCCCACACACTTGATGCATGTTGAAATTGGGGAAAAGCTGCTTCTGAGGAAAGGCTAAACTAAAGATCAATTCCTTTGTGTTTGGCTAGAAGTTACAGAAAAAAAAAATTCTTTTAAAGGTCTAACAAATTTAGAAAGAGAGAGGCGAGTTGTCTTGGGTCTTGTAACATCTGAGGCACTTCCAGCAACATGCAAGACTGAAGATTGGTAGCCGTAGCTAGAAACCCTGCATAGCTCCGGAACACAGAAATTCACATTTTAGACCAGAAATGTGACCTACCTCAGACAGTTCTTGTTTCCTATGGACGCCCCTGCCAGATGTTTTGTGCCCTGTCCATGCACCGAGTGCCAGTGTCTGTTCTTGAGTCATAAGAAAGCAGGGCTGGAGGGGGCCTCAGGAGACTGTCTAGTCTAACCTTCATACTCAAGGCAGGGTCATCCATAACTAAGCCATCCCAACCAAGGAGTTTGCATAACCTGCTCTTAAAAAACTTCCAAGGACAGAGATTCCATCACTTTTTTGGGTTGTGGAATCACAGTTTAGCAATAACCATGTTAACAATGTCTGACAGTTTGGACTGTTACGCATTCAAGAACTGTTATGCATTGTCTTAGTGGGGATCCACTTCATCATTAAGCATGTCTTAGTTACAACAAATGGTCTGTATTATATTGGAGGAAATACAATTCAGGATACTATGTGTATAGACTACAAATAACCAGGCTCTTCTGATTCTAACTTGTATTCAGGAAGGAAGTAAAGAATTACAGAAAGGTAAAAAAATTAACAGCTATCAGAAAAAGTACCGAGCATCCTTTAAGATGTTGAATTTTCAAATGGATCATTTTACAGTCTTGAGATATAGAAACCTGCCTGAAAGTTTTGGGAGGGAAGATCTGAAGACCTTGGAGAGCTGAGTCCACTGCTCATCTCCCAGTCACCTTGGCTGTACTACTAGTCTTTCACTCTCAATAACCAGCACTGAACTCTGCAGAGTGAGGAAGGGCTAGCTGCTGAGCCCCAGCTCAGCAATTCTGTACTAAGCCAATGACTGAGACAAAGAATACTACAGCAAACTGGCCTTGCGAACTTGCTTTCTACAACCATCTCTCTGGAAAGAGCAACTTGCAGGAGAGATGTGGCAAGAGCCCTAAGCAAGGCTCTGAAGCCAAAACTGTGAAAGAAGAGGAGCTTTATACCTCCATGTTCTTATTCTGCCTTGGCAGAATGCCTCTCCAGATTAATAGCTACCATGGTACCACACTGCCCTTCCTTCTAGTGTTTCACCCAGAGCCAAGTTAAACACACGATCACAAATAATGTAGTAAATAATATTTTCTAATCCCCATAGCTCATAGGGGAGCTGGTTTATGTTAACAGATGTGGGTAGAAGAGCTGAGACCAGTACTAGTTTAACAGGAAGCAAAAAAGATGGTAAACTACAAACACCAAACAACAGCTCCTGCCCAAAAGGGACTGAGTGATTGCTTCCAAAGCACTTTTGTTTTGCAAGATGGAAATATTTTAACAGGCGAGTCTGTAACATGTTAACATTTTTCCTTATTTCCCTCCCCACTACCACCATACATAAGAAGCCTTGCAAAAAGGCCAGACAGACGAATGCTCTTTTTCCTTTCATCTAAAGCTCCAGTGGGGAAGTGCATTCAAGGAGCCAGAGGAATGCACCACATTTGACAGAATGTGCCAGAGAAGAGAGACTGCAGCTGGGAAGCAAACCCCACCATGAAATATTGCACGGGAATGCTTAGGGAGATGAGGGCTGTTTCACCAAATGAACAAAATACAGTACAAGCACTAAAAACAAAGGAAGTCGGCCTCCAGTCTCTAGTGTCAGCACAAAATCCAACAAAGTGCAAAAACCTGTCTTGTTTTACAGAACAGCTAGAAACACAAATGAGGCCCTCCAGCCCCAAGACACCTGTCCTTTTTGCATCAGCCTAATTTCTCCTTTCTGATTTTTCTAGTGGTCTAGGAGTCACCTTCCAGAAGCATATACACATGTCTTTATTGCAGCCTACAGTTACTTTCCCCAGTAACTTTTTCCATGCTTATTATTCTTGGCAGGAAAGTAATCCTACTCTAGCCCCTTTATTCTCTTTTTTTCCCCTAAAAATCAGAGAGACCGAGTCTTTTTGAGCTTCTCAATGTACCAGAGAAAAAAAATCTCTATTAACTATAAAAGTCTGTTTTATAATATCTGAGGTAAGCAAAAAGATTTGTCTGGAGAGCACAGCACCAGGAGAACAACATCCATTAAGATTACTGTACTTTATAAAGGTCTGTTGTTCATTTTTAATACTAATGGGTTTTCAGGCATTGTGAAGTTGAAGGTGCCTGCCTGGCTCCATTTCAGGTTTACCAGTGAGACTTAATCCACTCTACTTAAAAACAGTGGATGACAGCGGTAGTTTAACCTACAAAGGTGGCTGGGGGGAAGGGTGCATGGAAAGAGGAATGCAACTCTAAAAGCAAAGCATTCTTCCAGCACAAAAATGGCTAGCTGAAGCAATCAAGATGAATCAATTGCTTGGAAATCTTAAAAAAAAAGAAAGGGGGGGGTAGGGTGGGGTGGGGGAAGAGCTCTTTTCAGCTGCATTAGGCCACCTACACAGCTTTCTTTTTTCCAATCAAGAATTAACCAAGCACTTTACATTTCTTCCTATTTTAAACTCTTTATGCTAAGAGAATGAGGCAGTATGTTGTTACCTATGAAAGTCCATGCCTCTGAACCAGTTAGTCTCTGAACCAGCAGGTGCCACCCTGCTGTGCTTTCTTTTGGCCAAGAACTATCTTTCCTACCCCAGTTCAGAAGCATGCTGTAGTACTCAATAACAAATCATGAGTCAAGTACCTGCAGGCAGATGACTTTGTCTCCAGGCTGGGCAGAGCTGTCTGGAGAGTAATCTCCGTCTAGCACTGACTGTTGCCTTCCCCGTGTCTTTCCAACAGCCACTGGGTTAATGGCTTCTAGATGGGAGGGGTTAGGCAGCAAGGTGACATGCACAGGACGGTGCGATCCAAAGTCTAGATCAACAGAGGATGTCAGGTGGGAAAGGACATCTCCAATCGCAGGTGAATTCTCTGGGAACTCGCTCAACCCACGCATCTTGCGAAACATAAGCTGCACAGAAACAAGCATAGTTATACAGTGGATCAGAAACAGGCTTGGTACTTAGGTTTCAAATCTAGAGAAGTTTTGATTCACTCTGCAGGTATTCTGGGAGAACTGCTACAACCATAGCCTTAGAGTCCTTTTGGTACACTTGGCAGAGCATTTTCGTGGGGAGATCTGCAGAGCTAACATTAGGAAGAAACAGGCACTCTAGCAGGCAATCAGGTTATCACTTTGTACTCAAGGGCTGGCAAGGAGACAGACACACATTTAATTATTTTCTTAGTAAACAGAAAGTTGCTGCCAGTGAAAGTACCCATCCCTTACCTCTGGTGGAAACTGAAGCAGCCCAGCGAGGAGATTAAGCCTTCCGCGATGGGGCATGCCAAGAACTACGTCCGTCACCCCACTATATGCACACATCTTGAACAACTCATGGAAAAAGCCCATCATACTCTCTGCTCCTTCACCCCCATATCGCTTCACCGTGGCAAACTTGGTGGCCAAGAAGTGGTCAAATTCCTGTTAGAAGGAAAAGCCAATTACTAGATTGCAATATTGTTTTAAATACTTCCTAACAAATAAAAGCCACAGCAACACAGTTCCATGCAGAAGAGACAAACTAAGCACACCCCAGCTCACCTCAACACCTTCCCCACAATGCTGCAGTGTACTCGAGGCCCACGCATACCAGATATGTGCAACAGAAAGCCAGTCTCAATTTGCTGCCTATTGTTTGCATCCAGGTTGTCACATTTTGGCCTGTGGAGGTGGGTCATCCAACCCACAGGGCTTTTCTCTGGTCGGATGACTTACCCCTAGACCCAGCCCACAGGGCTTCTTACCCCAGAGCCACTGTGCCAGCTCAGCCAGCCCCTCTTATCCACTGTCAAATTTCTGGTTTTCAACCGTCAGCAGTGGGGTGGTGAGCAGCTGTGGCATTAACCCCCACACTAACACAGCAGCTCTGGCAGCTGCAATGAGGAGCCCTGAGGGCCAGATCAGGCCAGCAACATATTGGAGTTTGATCCTCCTGGCTTAGAATATAACAAACATCAGTTACCTGAATATCACGTAAGTGCATAAACTGCTTAAGTGTAAGCATCTGTCCGTCTGCTGTGATGTAGCAGCAGTCCTTTTTACTCCATTAATTAGTGCCAGAAAGAGTGAAAGGGAAGCACCTGCTATTAGAAACCCTGACATTAACAGGAAGTATCAGTTTCATGGCTCCTGTTACAAGCCTTGAAAATGAAGGAAGGGAGCAGCTCAGAAATTGGCTAGTTCCCCTCATTTTCAAGGCTTCTGATAGCAGCCCTGAACCTGATTACAAGCCTTGAAAAATGAGGGAACTAGTCAGTTTGAACGCTGATAGTACCGCACACTCCTGTACTTAACTTATATTATGTTCAGATAAGTGCATACTGCAAGTCATGACAGAGCCCTTTTTTTAGTCCCAAGGCTATACACCTAAACAAAAGAAGCTGTACCGCCCCATGCAGGCCAAGACTGCAAGACTGCAAACAAATCCGAGAGACCAACCAGGATCTAATCTCATAGTGCAAGACATTAGAATTTGACAATTGCACATTGCCACCAAACTGCACAGGCACAAGGGGATGAGATGCTGTGACACAGAGGCTCAGAAACTTGCATCATCTCTATAGTGGTGTTAACAGATTTCAGAGAGAAGTTTAGAAGCCAAGTTCATTACCATTTGGAAAACCCCATAAAGATTATTAGAACCCAAATGCTATTGAAGTGCAACATATTATTATATGGGTCCTAGGGTGATCAGACAGTACTGCTAAGGCAGTAGGGGCAGAGTGGAAGAAATTAATTTATAATTAGTGCCCTCCAGCTGTTTTCGTATACAAGGAAATTTTGGGGGAACCTTTCAAATGCTAGCAGGTCCTGTAATGTTTACAGCTACAGAGATCGAAAATAGATTCAAAACTGTAACTGAGAAGAGTAGATTGAGCAACAACAGAGCCCCTGACTGTCAGCTGTCCACTTACAGTTACAACAGTGCTATTGCACACAGAACAGTGTTTCCTGCAAGCTTTTATTTCTTCATCCTGGGTGGAATTCTGGTCCTAGTGAAGTCACTGTGGGCTTTCCCACTGTCTCACTGAGTTGGGCAAAGCCAGGGTTTCACCCTGGGTTAGCAACAAAACTCTATGCAACAGCTACTAAAGCAATGAAGCTGTCAACTAGATCAGAGCTGTCCATTTTCTAGCCCCCAAAGGCCACATGCACCAGTAGGGCCTGTACCAGGCATGCCATGCAGACGCTCCCCCCATCCCTCTGCTGCACTGGGTGCCCCTATATTGTTGTGCTGCATGGACACATGTGTGCAATCCTTACTTCCCCAAGTTGCAACCCCGATCTCCCCATTGTCCTCATTAAGCATGGCCCTGGATCCACCCTCAGCTCTCTCCACTGCCTCATGCCTTGGGGCAAAGGCAGGAAGCAGCAGCCAGAGAAAGGAGTGGCAAGCCTGGAGAGACTTGCTATTGCAGCCAGAATGATGGTGAGGGGAGGAGTAGCAGTTGAGTGAATGCCTGGGGGGGGCACATTAACCCCTCATGGGCTTCACGTGGCCCACAGGCTGACACTGGGACAGACATGAATTAAATTAAATAAACCAGGTAGCACTAATGACTCGCCAAGCAGAAGGGTGAGGTTTAACAATCCCTATCCAAACAGCTGGAGACAGGGACACCTTCATGTAACCTGCTCTTGTGCCCTTGATCCACGCTGAACAAAACAAAAGACAGTGCAACAAAACAAAACCACCCACAAAAATTTACAATATGAAAAATATTTGGCTGATGTCCCATAGTACAGCCAGCCCACACACTCAGTCAGGGAGCGTTTCGCTGCCCCTCGCAGGGAATGAGGCAAGAATGACTTTGCCAAATGCTCTGCCAGCACTAGGTGTGTAGGCAGCTCCTCGGGACAACACTGCCAGAACCCTGATCTCACTCCCATTCGCCTCTCTAAACAAAGGCAGGTTTCCTTCCTTCCCAAACTGATCCCTATTGAAAGGGACTATGACTAGAAGGTGACAAGGAGTCAGAGAATGACTGAAAACAGAAGCAGAAGCTGAGAAGGAAATACAGAGCAGTGCAACAGCATCACATACGTCTTAAGTTCCTTTGAGGGCAATGCCCAGTTGTTTCTGCAGCCTCCACGTCTAATACAAAAAACATCGGGCCAGCAACTTTGGAGCATTTCCTCTTTTTTCAGAATATTCACAAGTTACCCTACTGGCTTTCCTAGAACGTCAAATGTTTTGCAGAATGTCACATAAAAGCACTGCATGCTGGGTTTCTTTTTTAAAATATGCTGTGCTATGCCATTCCCTCTTCTGGTTGAAGAGATCCCTTTGGTCTGTCACTGCCCCGAAATATTTTCCCCTGCTAAAAAACACTTTCTGAAACACTCAACTCGTAGCTGCAGAGCCTTGCAGTTTCTTTGAGGAATCCCTGTTCTTGTGCCTTCTGCAATTGTCTCCAATTAGAATTATTTCATTTCTGTGCTACAACCTTCAGACAAAACCCATATCTTGGCAATCAGAAATAAACGCATGTAGATCATAACCTTTTTTGGACCAAAGACTTCTTTTTCCCCTTTTGATCTGGTGTTTGGACAACGGACATTGTAGTCCATGGCTAGATCGCTATGTACCAATGCCATAAAGACGTGCAGCGTACCTGGGACTCCAACATCACCTTGGACAAATGCTTTTTCTCTTCGGTTGTAAATGCTTCTTGTTTTAGCTCCTCAAACCTTTTAGCAAACCAGTCTCTCTCCTCTGGGCTTGGCAGCTGGCTCGTCTCTATAGAAATGTGCCCGCAGTATATGTGATCAAGGTAAGCCAGCACATCCTCTAGGGACACTTCTTCCTTCCCCATGTTCAGAAGTCCTGGTCAAAAAGAGATTGGAAGGCCCATAGGGATTAGCCACTCTAAAGGACACTGCTGACTAGGAACTATAGTTTGAAAGCACAGTTTCACTTCCTGCCCCTCTGTTCTTCATTTGAAGCCCAAGGTCTCAAGAAACTTCAGAATTACCATTCCTAATACTTGGGACTTAGATGGTACTTTTCATTCTCCTTTGCAGTGTTTGAAATATTACTCCAAACTCTTCCAGGGCAGGGTCTGGGTTTTGGCATCTCATGTTTGTACTGTACCGAGCATTGTGAAGCTCAGAGATGATCAAGGTCCTTTGACATTCATTTGTATTGTGCAATGCTAATTTCCCAGATGGACAGACAAGACATGCAGAAGTTCTGGGAGTTGCTCAAGACCATGTTAAGTTAGTGGACAGAGCTAGGAATAGAAGTCAGATCTCATGACTTCCACTCCAATACCGCAGTCACTGCTGTAATACTGTACTATCATTAAGTAACCTGGGTAGCTATCTGAACAGTTACAGGGAATACTTACGTGATTTCAGGAAACGTGATAACCTAAGTTTGCAGATGTCATAGAGACAGAATAAAAGAATGTAAATAGTGTAAAATCAGTCAAGAGAAATTATTTTTCATTTGGCATCGCATCACTGAACAGCTACCTAACACATGGCTATGCCATTCAGGACAGAGCACGTAATCAGTCTGTTGTGGTGAGATTGCTATATTACTTCATGCTCATTTAGCAGCAGAGAAGAGAAAATTCAATGGTTTTATTTGACAGATTTCAAACATAACTCAAGGGAGCTGGGCACTGGAGCCTGTCTACCCACACAACGCTGTGCCCCATGAAGATACCCGACCTAACTTGGGACACTGCATTATGCTGGGGAGACGTGCTCTGCAGTACAGACTTACCTGTGATGTTGAAAGGCCCTTGAAGAACTTCCGACAGCATTCGAATTTCAGGTACCATATCCATCACCGCTTGACCAGCAAACAAAGGGTTAATTTTGGCGGCTTTGTGGCCATGCTCATGGTACGCCCCTACTAAACGGGCAAGACCGTGGTCAACTAAAGGTACAAAAGGGAAAAAAACAGAGAACGCTGTTAGCATGTACACTCTTCACTCATTCACCCTTGAGACGATGCTGCATCTTCCCCCACTGACACGCATCCAAAATGCTGCTGCCAAGATCACTTCCTGAGCTCAGCTCTTTAACCCATCTCACTATTCTTCATTCACCCCCTCCACTTCTTCCCCATAGACAAACACTTATGGCTTGTCTTCGCTTTCAAGGTGCTTCACAACCTGTCTTCACCCCATCTATCCTCTCCCATTGAATATGGAGAAGGTGACTCCCACCTCCACACGGCTCACTGTGCTCACCTCGCATGCCCAACTCAATAGATTTCCATGCTTTATCACATAGTACACCAAAGGGGGACTCCCATTAAATATCTGAAAAGCCACCTTGTTCCCTTATTTCAAATCTCTCCAGCTATGATGAGCACAGGAAACTCAACATGAGACCCCTGATGTGCAGTGACCCCTGCCCATCATGCTGATCAGTACCACCTCGCTGCAGGCAGCGGCTGCCTGCATCCCTCTGTCGTCCCCTGTAAGCTTTCTGAGGCCGGGACCATAAGGCTGTATGTTTCCTAACACCAGTCCCCACAGAAGCACCTTCTAGAGCAGGGGTAGGCAACCCCTGGCACGGGTGCCAGAGTGTGGCATGCAAAGGCATTTTGCTTAGCACGTGCACCTCAGGGCAGAGGGTGGGGAAGGAGCCAGGGCTGCGCTGCCACAAGTGGACATAGTCATCTGCTTGCATTCTCCATCTGGGGACAGAGATGGGCCTGTACCCTCTGGGCTATATGTCTCTCCCGCCCTAAACAAATGTGACTGCCCCAAGGCTGGGGGCTGTGAAGGGTAGACACAGATGAACCGCCCAGGGTGAGGAGTTAATCACCTCACTTGCAATAATCCCTCTCACTCTGCATGTGTTGCATGACTACATCACCCCAGCACTTAGCTCCGGGATCACCACCAAGGGGGACCCAAGCTGCAGCCAGCCCACGCACCTCCAAGACACTGCTCAGGGTTTTGCTTTGTTTTGAAGTCCCAAGCACCAGGGGCAGAGGAAACCTCAGGGGCCTGTGCTCTTCTGGCAGCAAATCATCACAGATTCACAGTTTAGCGCTAGAAGGGACCTTGTGAGCTCATCCTGCTCGGGGGAGGAAAGACTGCTGGGGTCAAATAACCCCCGCCGGAGCAGCTGTGCTTGCAGTGGGGCCTGGCAACCCCGTCTGGTGCCCAGCGCATGTCAGTCTGATGTCTGTCCCTGCCACCGGTCCAGCTGCAGCAGAGCCCCTCGCAGTCCCCCGCCTTCTGCCCCCGGCACGCCAGCGTCCTACGAGTCCAAGCTGCAGGTGTTTTAGGCACTCTGCCCAAAAACGTTGCTGAGCTCGGCCACCTTATCCCTTCCCCGGGACAACAGGTGCCAGGCACCCCGGCTCTGCATGGAGGTCAGGGCTCAGCCCAGCCGGCCCCGGCCCTGGCCATCACCCACCAGCGACTCCAGGGCCTTGGACTTTGAACCCTGACGTCACCAGCCACGCTGCGCACCCAGACCCGCTTCACCAAGCCCGCCGGGACACACTGACCCCCCCACCCCGGCAGACACACAGACCCAGACCCCCCCAGACAGACAGACAGATGGACGGACCGGCCCCTGTCGCCCTGTCGGCGCGGGCAGCGCGGGCGCTGTCGGGGCGGCG